AAAAAAAAAAAACGGAGTATTAAGTCAAAAAAAAAAAAAAAAAAAAAAAAACAGCCGCAATTTTTTTTTTCTTTTTTTGGTGATAAAAGTTGTAGCATGCTCTTGTGTTTGGCTCCCTTTCCTGTGTCGCCCCTAAATAAAATGAGAAGTCACCTGATTGGTAAATGAAGCGTGTGTGTGTGTGTGTGTGTGTGTGTGTGTAACCTCAGTATAAATCCAGCTCAGAGAAAACACTGAGATAGAGAAAACCAATAAACACTGAAAATAAGTCAGTGATAAAGTTGTAAAGAAGTTTAAGGGAAGATGAGGTTATATAATATGCCAAGTTTCAAACATCTAACATAACTCTGACCGAGTCACAATCTTTAAATGTAAGAATATGGCAGAACTGAAAACTACGGATGCACAATATTGTATGAAAACCTTAAGCTCTGGTCCACTGAACTTTGTCACTGCCCTGTAGAAAATGTCCTTACAACAGGCCAAATGTGTTGTGTTGGTCTATCACATACATTTTAGTTTGTGTCTGAACCTCAGGATCCCTCGTTCAGCTGCTTCCTACATTTTGGAGGATAGAGTCTGTCTGAGAAGCTTCAGCACACAGAGAGGAAGTATCCGCTTTCAGAGTCGCTCTACGCGTAATGCTGCAGTTTGATCTCCGTGCTTTCAAAGATGGACTCGTTTGGTCTCATCGCTAAGAGTCAATTTGAGAGTCTGTAGGGAGTTTGAAGAACTAAAAGGGAGTAAAAGTGTGGAGTGATCCATCATGGGTTTTTTTTTTTTATTTATTTATTTTTATTGGATCTTATTAAGGTATCTGTTAAATAATGCGAATTAAGACAAGTTAAAGAAAGTCTAGGAAAGAAGTGCTGCAACTGATGTGAGCCAGAAAAAAAACCCCCAACAAGCCTTCCAGTGTGTGAAAACCTTGTGGTTTTGTAAAGGAAAGCCCTTAAAGGAAGCCATTTCTTCCCTTCCAGTAATTAAACTTTAATATTTGTCAGATATTGGTCATTTCATCCTTTTTCCCCCCCCCACTAGTCTGAGGCTGCGTTCATGTTTTAAGACGGTCTGTTGTTCTCGTGTCTGACTCCGTCTCTGTTCGTCTGAACTTCCAGCAACAAGCCAAACCCCAACCAGCTGAGCAACAGCGTAAAGCCGGCGCTTCTAAACGGAGCAGCGGGCTCAAATGTCCCGGCACCGCCGGGCTCAACGCAGACCCCGGGTCTGGGGAGAGCCTGTGAAAGCTGCTATAGTAAGTCTACTATTATGTGTTTTAAGAAAACACAGACTCCCTCTCTTCTCTGTGGATCACATTAGATGATTATGATGGAGGAGATCATGACTTCTATCAGCTGACAAAGAAAGTGAAAGTCTGTTCTCTGTCATGCTGATGTGTGTGTGTGTGTGTGTGTGTAGCCAGCAGTTCCTACCAGTGGTACTCGTGGGGACCTCCCAACATGCAGTGTCGCCTGTGCGCTTCATGCTGGACCTACTGGAAGAAGTACGGCGGCCTGAAGATGCCCACAAGGCTGGACGGCGAGAGGCCGGGGCCCAACCGCAACACCATGGTAACGGCTGCGTTCCTGGACCGTTAATCAGAGGAAATCCTCCCGACTCGGTCCATCTAGCTGCATCTCAAACAATGGCTGGTTATTTTCCAAGTTCCGTTTAGTTTTTTTCCCCTCCCCAAACTCTCCTTTATCTGTTTTCGTTCTCCCAATTCCGCTTTGTCCATTCGACCGAATTTACGAAGTCAAAAAGTGTCGCTATGGAGTGAATGAAGTCCACAAAGAGATCCACATTTCCAGCTATTCAGGCTTCACCAGTAACAAATTAACGCTGCGGTTCAGCAGAGCACTGAATGACTTTACAAGGTGGTTAAAAGCATTTTGCTGTCATTTTTTTTTAAAGAACTCAAACTTTATGTTCAAAATAAAGAAACTCGTGTTATTTGCAGTTGAAACCAGACATTTTCATCTCGGAGACGTTTTTTTTTTGTTTTGTTTTGTTTTTCCTCGCTGTCTGAAGTTAAATCAGACTAAACTTTTCTTACTTTTAGGTTAGTTATAATTACCAAAATAATTTCTATTTGCTAAATGCCAGAAAATGTAGCAGAAAATGTTTTAATTTTAGTTGAAAACTTCTTGAATTTTACAGTGGGAGGGGGACAAAAGTGGACCGACTCCGTCTGTATTCGTGTTTCCGACGTTGCTCTTCGCTACAGGTGTCCGTCACATGTACGCCTGCGCCTGCAGTAGAGCATGCACTGCTGCTAGAAAGAAGCTGCCAGGCCTGATTCTTGCATAAAGCTTCACCTTTTTTGGCTTTTATTTCGAAGGAGTTGGCGTTTCAGTGAGTTTTGCCCGTAGCTGCAGCGGCCAAAAATACAACAGAAAACTATCAGGGTTTGTTAAATTCTCCGATCCCGTCTGTGTATTTTCAAAAATAATGGCTACTCGCAGCAGTAAAGTAACCCATCCGAGTCCAGGTGAAACAAATTGACCTCAAAGCCATGTTGGCACTTTATAGTCATTCGTTTTCAGGTCCGAGTCCTGCCTTGTCCTCTGACCGACCCGACGTTTGCCGTTCCAGAGTCCTCACGGCCTTCCTCTGCGGCACAGCGGCAGCCCCAAGTTTGCCGTCAAGACCCGGCAGGCGTTTTTCCTGCAGACCACCGGCGCCACGCGGCTGGCGCGCCGCCTCTGCGAGGACATCATCCGTCCGCGATACCTGGCCCGGCACCCGTACCTCCCCGTCAACACAGCAGCCATCAAAGCCGAGTGTAGGAGGCTTTGTGTTCCCAGCAGCCAAACTTTGGCCACATTCAAACGTTTTGTTTGTTTGTTTGTTTGGTTATTGATGAGTGTCGTTTCGCTGACTGACTTCAGGTGCTCTGAGGTTACCAGATCGGCCAAAAAAGCCTTCGCAGCTCAAACCGGTGGAGCGGAAACCTCTGGAGTCTGTGGTTCGGTACTTGGGTAAGAGGCCTGCTGTCAAGTTTGTCATGTTTCAGCTTATCTGTTGTGCATGAGAAGGTTTTGTTCTTAAAAACGAAAGTCTGGGAAAGTCTGGAATTGTCTGGGATGTTATTTCAATCTTTTCCAGGAAAAGTCCAGACTAAGAAAATACGACTGCTTCCAGACTTTATTCCCTGGCCGGTTGTCTTTCCTTCCTCTTTCTTTATTGAGCCCTTGCTTCCTCTTATCCTTCCCTCTGCCAACTTCCTTTTTTAATTGTCTTTCCTTCCTTCTTCACTCCCTTACTTGTGCCCTTTTACCATTTGGATTGTCCTTTCTTCTTTTCTTTCCCATGTCCTTCCTATAATTCCCATCTTTACTTCTTGTGTCCTTCCATTCTTCCTTGTATCCTTCCTCAATCGCGCTCTTCCTTCATCCCTGTTCTTTCTTTCTTTGCTCTTTGCGTCCTACTGCGTTTGTTCCTTCCGCTGTTTATTCCTGTTTCTCTTTTGAATGCATCTGTTGTGCATGAGTTGATTTTGTTGAAACTTTCTCAAATCCAGAGATAAATTCAGTATTTAATGTTTATTTTTTTGTTTTTTCTTCTTTTAAGATGTTTATCCGTTTGAAAGTAAAGCCTCTCATGTCTTCTTCTCTATGCTCCCTGTATGCAGAAGCACATCCCCGTCCGTCCAAGCCCAACCCGCCGCCCCGTGGCGGATCCATCTCAACAGGCAGCTTGACGCCCATAAAGTCCTCTCCCATCCTCAACAACGGCTCGCCCACCATCCTGGGCAAGCGCAGCTACGAGCAGCACAACGGCCTGGATGGTGGGTTTCACCGATTCAGGACATTCTTCCTTTTAGCCTAAACTACTGCAACCAGAACGACACCATTGAGTAACTGTAACGACCTCCGTTCTCTCATTGAAATCACTCTTTCTGCTAAAAGTTTGAGTTTAGCTCAGAGATCAACACTCGTTAGATATTTTGTTCGTTTTTGTGTTAAAAAATAGTTTATTTTTAAAAGAATTTTTTTTTTACCAGACAGTTGATGAGAAAGTTAAATTAATATCAGTCCTAACGTCTGTCATTTATGTCTTTGTTCCACTCTGTGAATTTTGGCTGAGAAATCTGAAAATCTGAAAGGGAAACTGTGAAATTTCTCATAAAGAAGATCTAGGAAGCCTTTTTTTTTTTTTTTTAAACTGTGATGTCTCACTTCATGCATCCTGAAAATCCATAAAGCCAAAGATTTGTGATCCTTAAACATGGCTTCTCTGATAAACTGTCCTCTGCATCCATTTTACAAATTAAAATAAGAGAAAAATCCATAATATAGTCAAATCAGAAAAACTGACTCTTGATAATGTTTGGTAATTTCCTTTTTTTTTTTTTTTTACTGCTGTGATCACATGAAATTAGTTGCTTTTGACGCCAGCAGGGGGCAGATAAAGGTTAGCTTTTTTCTCTCCCCCTCCAGAACTGGCAGATTGTGTGTGTGTGTGTGTGTGTTTGTGTTTGTGTTTGATATCTGCTGAATCAGCTCTCCTGCTCCGCTCCATTTGCAGGCACCAAGTCCAAAGCCCTTACTCCACAGTGGGACATTATGGCCAAACGTGTTAGCGATGCGGGACGGCCTTCGGCGTCCTTGCAGGACGAGATCCACGAACTGGACTGAACTCTCCGTGGGAACAATCTCTACTGCAAACAGCAGTGAGGTGAGACTTTGACTTCTGCTGCTGCACCACTTTGAACACCAGGGGTGATTTATTCAGTAGGTTGTCTGCTTGTTGGTGGTGTTGCAAATGTTGACTTGAGAGGCGAAAACCAAGCTGAAGATTGAACAGCTTTGCGGGCGACAAAAAGAACGCTTTTTAATCTTTATAAGGTTAGAACAGAAACTGGATATGTTCTTTGCACCAAGTTTTTGTTCATGGTTTTTGCATAAAGCTAACAAAACGATATTTCATAAGAATTGCCACATTATGTCCTACATAATCACTGGGAATACAACAGACTTGACAGCAGGCTGTCCAGAGTGCTGTATGCAAACTTATTTATGGAAAGTTAAGTGGAAGGAAAAATTGTGGTGCACATTAGCGCAGTAATTCGTGATAAACGAGCTCCACCAAGCAGCTGTAAGCCGTAATCGTCTGAATTGGCTCAAATATGCATCAATAATACTTCTGGTTCAGTTTATTTGCTAAACGTTTGCTCACTAAGGCCAAAATTCATGTGCTGATGTAATAAAATTTAAACATTAAACCACATGATTTTTAATTGACAGTATTGAAAAATTAAAGAAACAAGTCAAAAAGTATTAAAACTAATGTCACTAATCTACAAGTGACCAATTTATAGTATTCTTAATAAAATGATTCAGTGGGACAAGGCCATCAAAAATGAATTAAATATCCGTGGATTTAATCCTGTTTTTCCCGTGAGAAACTGTATTTATTTCTCCCAAATGAAGCTTGTTTCTTATCATCCTGCAGTTTATCCCATCGCACAGTAAATCATACGTGACACAGTCATGGCGTTCACCTGTGAATCCTGGGTAGTGGAAATATATGCGTCTACAATTCAACAAATTCAAAAAAAAGCTTCGGAAGTTTTAAAAACTTGGGATCCAAAAGTAAACTGAATGAAATATTACATTCGGATATTTATAGCCATGTCAGTCCGTCCCCCTGCTACTGCAAAATCTGGTTTAGTTTCACGCTTTGTATTGAGTTATTAATGATATTCAAATGCGTCCAGCTGCACATATTCTTCCCTCTGTGACGCCTCCGCCAGACGATGCTTCTGCTGCCCCCAGGTGGCCAAAGATATTTAATGGCATCTTTTTTCTCTCTCTCTCTCTCTTTTCTCGTTTTTCCAGCAGGGGGAGAAAGGAAAAGGAGAAGGCTTTCCTACCAGACCATAAGTGAGGGCAGCTGAGAGGAGACGACGGCATCGGTCACTTTTCTTTCAGTCAGTTTGTGTCTCTTTGCTGCTGGAGACCAGGCGACCGCTTCGGCAGAGGTCTCCATCTGAAGATGAGCCTGACTGTACAGGACTGTGTTTATTACTTACATTACTTGTTATTACTGTCTTTGTAATTATTGTTATTGGGGTTTTATTTTTTTATTTTGTTTGTATTTTATTTTATTTTATTTTTTACCAACTATAACTCGGTTTGTTTGTCGATCAAACGATGGAGACTTGTAAAGTTTCATGAGAAGTGCTTGAGGAGCCCCTGTGGAGAAGGAACGTTAACATAAGCCACTCGCATCTTTTGTTGTGTTTTAATATGATTTTTTTTAACAAGATCAAGTCGGAAAAGAGAGACTTTTCTCTTTGTTTCAGCGACGCGAGTTCAACTCGTCTTCTGCGTCGCTCAGGCCGGCGCCGCTCTGCAGCCAGAGGAGGGTTAACTTATTGAGAAGGACTTGATGTTCTTTCTACGTTTTTCAGCAATTGGCGGCATCTCTTTGCTTCGTAATGCAATTAAAAACAGTCAATTTTTTTTCTTTTCTTTTTTTTTTTCTTTTCTTTTCCCCTCTTCTTGTTTCGGTGTCCGTCCACAGAGCTGAGGTGTTGAAACACACACACAGACCGTTGCCGCTCCGGGCTGCTGTCGGTGTGTGTGTGTGTGTGTTAATTTTTTTCTTTTTTTCCTCTACTCCACACCGGGTATGCAAGCAGGGTATATGCAAATTTACAGCGACTCTTCATTCCTAATGGCTTTATATGTTGTCAGTATTGGAGCGGATTTAAAGCTCGAGCCGTTCTTTGTTTTGTAAGCAAACATCTGAAATGAACTAAAAAGCAGGAATGCAGTCTGCTTTCATTGTCCAACCTCTTGTCGGTGTGTTTATTTTTGCACATTTGTTGAAAACGTCACGAGCAAAGTTGGCTTTTCCACAAAAGCAGAAGAAAGAAAGATGTAATTTCACCATCTGTCCATAACACAGGTTTACAAATCAGCCAACCAATCATCTGAGACAACCAGATTGTGAATAAGTATCTTCTTCAAGCGACGCTCTGACTGTAGTTTGTTTGAATCCTTGTAGCTCGTTGAACCTGAGGACTGTTTAGAGCGCTCTCCAAAGTATCGACGGGCAGCGACAACGTTGTGAGAGCTGACATTTTCACCTGTTTAACAATAAACTAAACACTCAAAGAAACCAAGTATTTACATCTTGGAGGGAAAACTAAACACGGAGGCCTGTGGAAGTGTAGTTCTTTTGCAATCAGAGAGCCGTGGGTTCGATTCTGACCTGAAATGTCGGCGTCCTAAAAGTTTTCTATTTTCTAAATGTTTTTTTTTTTTTTGGGATATACTCAAACAAATGAGATAACAAAAAAAGAGAGGCTTTTTCTGCCACATTTATTAAATGCTTGCTTCTACATAAATCTCTGTATTTGTGTAGTTCTGCTTACTTTGAAATTAAAATGACACCAAAAAAAAAAAAAAAAAATGTCAAGATGCATACTCTGTGCTGCGCCTAACATTTTTTTTTCTTAATGAAGAATAATTCATTTGTCTGTCAAACTTTGGCGTCACTAAAGTTTTCAGCATAAAATATATATATTTTTTTGTTTTTTTAAAGGCGGCAGACACCAGGGCTGCATCTTTAGACTTCTCTCAAACCCCACAGCTTAGCGCTTATGCAGTGCCTGACACATCCTTGGACTTGTTTTTCCACATTTTTCAATCACAAACATCCAAGTAGGGCATGTGAATATGAATAGGACACATGGTTTTCAAATATTTTTTTATAAATAAAAATCCTTAAATGGTGGCATTTATTCGTGTTTATCTCATTTACTCCGTCAGGAGTGCAGTGTAACCAGCCGCCGTGTTAAATGACTAGAGTCCAACTTGTGTGTAGTGTGAATTCAGCTGTTCTGTGGATGGCTGAGAGGTTGGAGATAAAGTTCTGGAGAACTTTAGACCAGAGGTAGGTCATTAAAGTCTAACCCCAAGCACTGAACATTTCACAGATTGCTCTGCTTTTCTTTCTTTTTTTTTTTTTTTCTTTAAACGCTCCGTCCTCAGTGTAGCATTCAGAGTCCGAGTGCCAAGAAGAAGTCCAACAGATTTACTTTCACAAGTGGAGCATTGCAGTTTTTGCTATTATGCAGAGAGAGAAAGTAAGTAAACGCAACTGTTGCCGGGTAGTTTGGCCTGATCTCTGAGCCAAATGAAAACGATGCTTCGACTGTGAAACCACATACAAAAAATAAACATTTGTAACTAAATATTGTACACATAAACGCACATCAGCAATGGACATTACAAACATTTGCATATTATTGAACATAAAGGTAACATTTAAATGAAATATTTCTCACAAATAACAGATTTTTTAAATACTTAATTGCATGAAACAGCCCAAACATGTCATGTTAAAAATGCACTTTTTAAAAATAAAACTAAAATTGACAGTTTTTCCAAAACCCACAAAAATGTATCAAACTAAATAAACACAAATGTAAGTCGCAATTTCAAGACACTGTTGGCCAGAAGTACTTAAAGTATCTTATATTCCACCCACTTTACAATTATGAAATACTTTGTGTTATAAAATACATTAAAGGTTGTGGCTGCGACAAAAGAGTTTAAGGTGTTCAAGAACTTTGGAAAGGCAGTGCAAGTATGATGGCTTCAACTTTAATGTAGTCTCTAATTTAACCAAATGATCACAGTAAGCCCATAAGAATACACAATTAATTCACAAGTCAAGTGTGAAGTTCTAACAAATACTTATTTTCAGAGACGCAGGGTAATTTGTTTTTAATGTTTTGACTACTTAAATAATTGATCTTTTTCTTATAAGTACGGATTAGCTGCAGCCTGTTCTGTAACATCTGGATTCATCTTCAGTCTGGACGCTTCCTCACTCGTTGGGTCATAGTTGGCTCCAACTCCTCCTGTGCCGGTTGCTTTTTCTCCTCCGTCAGATAACTTCTCCTCTGTAACACCTCCTGAATATTTCTCCGTTGAGTCATCTCAGGCGGCTCTATCTGCGCCTGCGGCCCTTTTCAGATTTCAAGAAAGTGAACTTTGCGATGAGAGACGCGCATCTCTTATCGACTCGCTTCTTGGCTGAGTTTTTTTTTTTTAATCCGATCTGATCCCTGCTCAGATGACGTTTCTGTGCCGGAGGAGCTCAATATTTACGGCAGCTGCAGGAGCTGACTGGCGCTCACCGTGGAGACACGATCCGGTCCAGTCCACTCGTACGGACGACCGGATCGATTCCGACGGCCAGCGTAACGATTTTCAGAAAGCTCTTAGTTTGACTAAATGTCTGTAGACTATGTCACTGCCGAGTATATTTTTCTATACGTGCAGGACTGTCAATATTCCAGTCACATCCTGCATTATATTATGTTGTCATAAGTGGACACGATGTTTATTTGATCAGGCTGGGCAATGTGGAGCAGCTGGCTGTGTTCTGCAGAAATCGGTACGTTAGGGCTTTTAGTTGTCCGACCATAAATGCTTGAATTTTACCACAAATCGTAGATCCAAATTTTTTAAATGCATCTATTGAGATTGGGATTACTGCTGAGTTTGAATTGATGGTTTATGTAGAGATAAAATACATAGATTTGTTTTTTTATTTAAAGGGGCAGTGTTATGTGTTTTTATCATTTCATAGCACAATCAAGTAACTATGTTGCCGTAAAAATGCTGCATATATCAAATACTTAAAAGAAATTTGACTTTGTAACTTAACGCCTTGAAATTGGGCCTCTGTCTCTTTAAAGACTCTTGCTCTTTCTGAAACTCCGCCTTTGGGAAGTCATTACAACTTTTAACAAAGTTTTTTTTTTTTTTTTAACCAGCGTTGTACTGAGAAGCGGCTCGCATGAAGAGCTGAGTGGATGCCCATTTCCACCAGGTGTTTGCTAACTGCTGCTGGCTAGTCTGAAGGAGCAGAGCGGGGTGAGTCACAGCAGAGGAGGGCTGCTCCAAGGAGGAACTTCATCCTTGAAGGCGGGGCTAGGTCCACCCAAGCGCTTTGCACAGCTGAATGGTTGCCACGGGAGATTGAAGTATTTCTTATGCATGAAAAGAACAAGGCAACACTCCAGGTATGTAGATATGATGTGGAAATACCATTTTAACATGACGTAAAGCTCAGAAAATTTTATTTTTACGTAGTTGTGTCCCTTCAAAGGAAATGGAAAGTTTACGTTGGACCTGTGTTTTTTTTTTTTTTTCAGCCAATTAAATTTGGCCCCTTTTTCTAGATTTCACCACATCTTCATTAGAGGTTGCAAATTGCGCTTAAGAGCCAGCAGTGGGTAACATCTCCAAAAACACAAAGTGTTCCTGGGGTGGAGAAAGAAAAAGTGAATGGACTAAGAGATAAACACAAAGCTTAAACAGCTCCTAATCATCTCTAAATATATTAGGGACGTCTTACGGCTTTGACCCGCACGGCTTTTAAGGATAATGGAGGCCTACTAATTTATTAATGTGATGATAGAAAGACCAGAGTAACAAGTTAAACTGTAAAACGTGTATCTGGATGATCGTCTTCCGACTGACGGCTGCCCTTCCGCAATAACTCTGGTCTTGATGAGGCAGGGGGGAAAAAATTTATAAATAATTAAAGTAAAACAGTTCAGTGGCAAAGGAGCAAAACTTAATATTTGTGCTTAAACTGTGAGAGATTATTTTAACATTTTTTTACTTCCAGACAGTCCAAACATAACCCATCATTTTGATCCAAACCAAAGAAAGCAAAGCTACTAAAGAGGAGCAGTGATGGAGCAGATGGGCGGATCGAAGCGATGAATCAACGGCCTGCAATTTAACAAGGAGATGATGGCGCTTCAGTTTGGTGCAGATCCAATGAATCGGATAAAGAAGTCCGCCTTAAGAAAAGCACATCACATCACAGGAAAGTAAGTTTGGTGATTTATTTTAAGCGGTTATAGTTGCAAGATGGGAAAAAAAAAGACAAATCAAGTATCTTGATCCTGTATAAAAAGAGCAAACAAAAGTGGCTAACGAGACCGTTTCTTCTTGCAGTGTTTGGTCAACTTTTCCAAGAAGCAGCTGATGACTAAATATTTGAATATATTTTTTAATTAGTAACAATATATGCAGAGGAAGTGTGTCAAAGTACATTTTTAGTGGAACAATTTTAGACAGAATCCTAAAATTCTGTCTAAAATTGTAGATTTAATCAAGTCACAAAAGAAAAGCATATTAGAAGAAAGTAATGTTAGTATTGTGCAAATACAAGTATTATAAATGATCATTGAAAGAATCTTAAGGTATTTTTACATATTTGTGTAGTTACTTTTTTAACAATGTTAATGTAGAGATAGTGAAGGTCCACAGATTGTTTTCTCAAAAGGCTAAGACTTAAGGTGATGCGTTCAGCAAAGAGGTTTCGGAAAAAACGCTGATTGGAGACCTAGCTGACCGGCACCACATCCAGGATTTAAAAGTCTAACTTAGCAATTCAAAGAGTGAAATTTATATAATAAGGTCACTACACCAAGATGTGACTCATATGTTCATTTTGATTATCGTGTCTTACAGGTAGAAAAAATTAGACAAGCAAACAGGGAAGAATTTAACAGGTACAAAGGACATGTATAGCCTTGGATCTGGTCCCCAGGAAAGGTGACTGTAAGGGACATATAGAGTTAACTGAGATGAAGAATCCAGTTCAGTAAGTTAATCATAAGAGCCGTCAGGATGAACACACCACAGGCTGAGACTGCCAGGAACTGGGTTGAAAACTAGCTGTTTGGTTCGTAATGTCTCCCAGCAGGTTAAATGTCAGAGGATTCGTTGGAGGGTGTCATGGTCATGCCGGCAGCAGACAAACAGGTAAGTTAGGACCAGGTCACCCATGCAACATGAGATGGTTCCAGATAAACGAGCACCATATCAGATCAAGATGCGACAAACCGAGCTCACTGGTCAGAAAGTCAATACTGGAAACCATAAAAGCTGAACATGAAGCGACTGAGGCCTGATTACCAAGAGAACGATCCGGCGTCCGTCTGAGAGAGCTGGTTTCCATATATCAGCTTCCCTGAGGAGGCTGGATGAGCTGCAGCTGCCTGGAGGAAGAGAGAGCGAGAGCACAACCGAAGAGACTGCATACAGGTAGTTAGACACAAATTCAGTTTCTCTTATCAAATATTTAAAACTAAAAAAGGACTTTTAATCCAGAAATGACTGCTCTGACCTTGGACTTGATGAAACACAGAGGGCCAGCAGCAGCCTCTGATGACCTGACTCACCAGATTATCATTTACTGTGGAAACTTCCCACTAGAACTCGAGCGACTTGGACTGTGTGCTTCTCCGCTCTACCTGCAGTCTCCGGGAGTTACCTTCACCATTTAAAAACGACTTTAGACCGCCGAGCGACAGTGGTCAAGCTGAGACTGTTCTTCAGGATTGGCTAAAAACGCTAAGGAACGTGGATGCTTCAGTACCTATCCGGGACACTTCTAATGTCGTTCTGATTCCAGCTGCGGTCCAGCCTCGTGAATCTCTTCCAATCTCTTTATTGTGCGTTGCTTGACAATATATTGAAAGTTGCAGTCTTCCATTGCTTGTGGGTTGTTGTTTTTTTCTTCACACCTTTTCCTACCACTCAATTTTCCATTAATAGTGTCCTTTTAAGAACCAGCTTCTGAACAAATTTACTTGTCACCTTTTGTTATGGAAGCTGTTAACCTTCGTGATGACGTGTAGACCATAGCATTTCTACATTTAAAAAACTTTTCTTTTTTCTTTTTAAATTAGCATCTATTATTAAAAACTTAAGGGAACTATAAGCAGAAAGCAAAAAAATATTTAAATATTAAAACAACTACAAAAATTCATAAACTTTTTAAAAAAAAGCTATTAAAAAGCACTTGTAATCAGTGCTGCAACAAACAAAACAAAACAAAAACAAAGTGGCGCTACGGGGAAATATGCTAACTGCTCTCCGCGCCCTTCGTGCACCAACATGCAGCCTGGCTGTCAAGCGGGCGCAGAGCTGCGGACAAGAAACGGTTAAGCGCAAAGATGCAGGAGCTGCGTGAGTCCATCTGAGCATGTGCCGCTGGCGCCGCCGCCGCTGCTGCTGCAGTGAAGTAAAAAAATGTGTGGATTTCCACAGGACAGAGCGGAGACACCGCGCAGGAGAAGCCGGGCGACAGACTAGCAGAGGCGCGGACCGACACCGACTCTTCCCGACCGACCTCACCGAGGGATGTGTCGGATCCGCCGGGGTGTGCGCCTGGGGAGACACCGCAGAGATCCTTCTGAAGGTAAAAAAATAAAATAAAAATGAAATATATTTCGCTGTGCTGATCGTAGAAAGAGAGAGAAAGAGAAAGAGAGAGAGAGAGGGGGGGGGGGGGGAAAGGCAGTAAAAATGCTTGTACTCAAGCGGAGTGACATTCAGGGCAACAACATGTGTTCCTGTTGGGGGAATCTTTTGGGTTTTTATTTCCCTTTCGCAATGAAATGTCACCAGATTACTCCCAACTTAATAGTGCTGCGCTATTGTTTTTATTTTAACCGTTTATTCAATTGAATGTTTAAAGCGGTTTCCCCCTCTCTCTCTCCTTTCATATTCAACAACAATATTGCGCGTGTTTTCTGCGCAGTCGCGCCGCTGCACCTGTTAAAATCCGGATTATCGTAAGTTTATTTGTTAACCGCTCTGTGGATCGCAAGTCACCTTTTTTTTTTTTTATTGCGATACCAAAGTGTTGCAAAGTATGTCCCAGATATGAAATCGGTGCATGAGCTGCACAGCTACATGTATGTTTAATTGTAGTGTGCGGAGAGGGTGCCGCACTGCTCATCATCAGTGTGCTTGATGCTGCAGCGGAGTGCACCCCTCACCCCCTCCTCCTCCACGGCCCCCTGCCCCTCCAACGGGCCCTGCACCTTCCAGTTTCCCGGGACAGGTCAGGATCGGCGGGCGTCCAGCGTGAAGAAAAGCCGTTCATTTGCAGAGCGGATGGACGCCTGGACTCCACGTAGCTCCATCTGTGGGAGCTTTTTTTTTTGCAGAAGCTTAAAAAAAAAAAAAAAGCCCTAATCGATTTATGCCACATAAACCCTGCAGTTCATTATCATTTGGGGTGAGTTAATCCCCGCTGTCGCTTCTGTAGTCCATAGCCTATTTATAACCCACGCAACAGCCTCCACAGCTAGGAATCCCAAAATGACCCCGTATTATAACACTGCTGAAAGGGAGTAACAGTGAGCTGTGTGTGTGGACGCAAGATTAATATTCCCGTAGTGATGCAGTGGGTCTGTTACCACTCTGTATTCAGGTGTTGAAGTTTCCCAACTCATAGGTCTTACTGTAAGTCACCTTACGGGGAGCAAAAGGTATATAATATTGACATAGTGGTGGTTAATGAAATTGGCAATGTGGCGCAGGCCCAGGAGGGCATTGAGGGCGGCATTATTGTAAGTACTGTAAAAAAAATATTATTATTATTATTATTTGGCTGTCTACAGACTTCAATTTGGCGTTACAGTAAAGGACTATTTCCACCCTTTACATAAACCCTGGCCTGCATTTGTACATCTCTAGTTGAAATTCTAAAACATATCCGACCTGAATCATTGTACATTTTGGCTGTTTCGGCTTTATGAAAACAAACAGTAAATAACCAAAACTTCACAGCAGACGTTGAACATTATTCAAATTGAAAGTTCACAAAGCAGCCAAGTACAGTAGCGCAGTAGAATATATGCGGAAAATTTCATTTAGGCAAAGCTGCGTGCGTTTTCCAAGTTAGCAAAAATGCTACAGTGATGAACGAAAAAAAAAAAAATTGCTCTGCTCTTAAAACGTGATATGCGTAATAATATTAGTGAATGTGAGTGGAGAATGACATCACTGGTGATAAATAAGCTATTTTAAGATCATCATATATATATATATATATATATATATATATATATATATATATATATATATATATAATTACATGTTTTGAAATTACATCTTTATTTATAATCCGCCTTTCCTGTGCTACATTGAGAATGTGTGGGTGAATGGGTAAATGTGGTGTGACACCCTTTAGAGTCCTCTGGACTAGATAAAGCGCTATAGAAGTACAGGCCATTTAACATTTACAGCTGTGTGACTTTCTTTTACTTCTCTCCCTTGGAGCACACTTCATGCTAACCGCCACACATCATATGAATTGCTCAGTACAGTAACATCCGATTCTGGGTCAACGGCTTTCCCTGTGTCACATCGTGTCAGGGTTATCTCACCTGCTAGCGATCCCGCCACTTTACAGTGTGTGGGAATCACTGTTGCAATGGAAATCCTTTCGGAAGGGAATATATCCAAAGTATCCCTGATTCTCAATGACTCCCAATATTTGCAAATCCATAAAAAAAAGAAAATCTATTTTATCCTCCCTCCCACCACGCCAAGCTTAAAAGAAGGTCACCTCATGCCAGAACTAGCACTGTTTTTACACACTGAGCTTATGTGTTTGGAATTGATGGAATGCTACGAATAAACTATGTCTGCGTCACGTCACAGGTCCGGTTTAGAAAATATGCTCTTTCAAAAACTCTGGGAATTTGCGGCATGAAAGCAAACGGATACTTCTGACGTCACTCAGAGTTTGGCCTTCATCTCACCTTCTAATCGTTAATTGTCCCTTTCTCTATAAATAAAATACTCAACACGTTATTCCAGTTTATTGATTTGAACAAAAGCCTCAGTAGCCTCAGTAGTTCATTGAGTTGACTCAGACAGGACATTTCTGTACCTCTGTTGTTTTCCACTGATCTTCTGCCATAAAACCAACATCAATTATGCATGACCAACGATTGATTACAAAGCTTCTACGTCTGATAGCCGGTTGAATCCCCGTCCATTAGGCGCATCCATCTCCATTTCACCGCTTCCATGGTGACAATGTCTATAAAACTCCAGATTCTTCCTTAGGAGCTCTAAGATTTAATGCGTAGCTCGGCCCACAAATGTCAGAGCTTCAGCTTCCGAGGATCTGAAACTTCAGGACGGTAATGGACCTGCAAAGTGTTTGTACCTCTCAGACTCTTTCGCATTTTGTCACATTACAGTTAGAAAATTAATGTGTTTAGAGACCAACAGAGTAATGCATAAACGCAGACTTGTCTTTAGTCAGTACTTCAGCAACAACATTTTTATGCAAGTGTTTTTTTTTGTCAGGCGGGGGGGGTATTTTTACCTACTTTTCAGATTACGTGAAACATATTAACTTCCAGGTCTTCCCAAAGATTCTCTACTGGATTTAGGTTTGGACTTTGACTGGACCATTGAATCAGCTTTTATCTAAACAGCTCCACTGTCACTCTGGTTCCATGTTAAAGTCTCAGGTGTTTTGTTAGTTTGGAGCAGTAGCATGATTTGCAGAGTGTGCAACTATTAGTTGCCTGTCAACAGACTCTCCCCCTCAGGGCTGTTCTTGTTCGGAGGCAGAGGTCTGCAACCTCTACACTCTAAAGAGCCGTTTTTATCTTCGGAGCCGCAAATGTAACATGACATAAAGATACAGATTTTTGACAAACATTTTCTATAGGAAATCTGATGTCATTCTTAAATAATCTCTATAAGATAAGTCCATATTCCTCGTTTGTCTTTCAAGCTATTTTGAACCTTTTAATTATTACTTTTGCACTCTGGGGAAAAAAGGGCAAGTTTTGGTAAGTTGCTTCCTGCCTTACTTTAATGGCTTCTCCTTCCCATTTTGTAGAGCGTCTCAGAAATGTAGCCGCTGTGTTGCTTCATATTTATACTGAACAGCATAAAATGTGGGGAAACAAATGCCTCGTTTGAACTTATTTTATGAGTTTATTGAACGTAATTACGTGTCCAATAATTCCTTTCTAACGTAATTATAGAAATTATTTTTTTATATGAGATCCTATCCACCCACTGAATAAATGTACTTTAATTACAGATGGGATTTATTTCTGAAATTTCCAGTGTGAGATTATGCTGCTGCAATAATCTCATGTGGACAGTTTTTAAACTTTTTTTTTTTTTTTTTTGGTCTTATGTCATACTTATCCCAAATCTTTATAATCATATGTCCCTAGGTGACATAAATTGCTATATAAACCTTGATGAATCAAATATTTTGCTGATACTTTCTGAGTTACACACCAATCTGTTTTGTTTTATTGCGTGGTTGTTGGAGCCCAAAGCAGAGACATTGCTTCCAGTTGAAGCTTCAGCCTGTCTGATCACCCTTGGACACTGACATGTTGCCTGGACGGCTTTATGGATCACTTTAATTAAAGAGTTAGAAAGTTCAACCTTCTGTTATATAACTGACTTGTTTGGGAAAGCTTATTTTTTGACTTGTCACGTTTAGCGCAAGAAGCCTCCTTGCCTCCACGCATGACTTCAGGTTCTATTTCTTGCCAATCAATAAAAGCCTTTTGGATCTGAAACCCGCCTCCCTGTTTACATAAATCCTTCCTCCTCCGCCGCTCTGTGTCACTCGCTAAAGCTTTCACCTTGCGGTTATGGAGAGGATGCCTTTGATAAAGTTGTGTCGGCCGTGCTGCGCTGGAGCTTTTAGTGTCAGCGCTTCCTGGCGCCTTTCCAGCCTCATCTGAGAGCATTATTGAGAGACCTCGCTAATTATAGAGCTCAAACATGCAAACCGAGGCTTTGTGTTACGAATGAAGCTGTGCATCTGTCTGAAAAAGCGTCGCGCCGGTGATGTTTGGAAGGATTAGACGCAGTTCAGAGGCTACGTGTTTGCAAACCTTACAAAGAAATGGCGGCCTTGGCGAGGAGTCAGAGAAACTGCCAGGAGAACGTTGGGTAGCTCTTGGGGAGCTGCAGCAATCCTGAGCTCAGGTGGAGAATGCCACAAGGAACCACGAGAAAGAGGTGCTCCGGTCAGAACGGATCAAAAGTTAAACTTTTTTTGGTCCTCGCACCACCCCCGAGGTGAGGCATGGTGGTAGCAGCATAATGCTGTGGGGATCTCTTTCTTTAGCAGCAACAATGAAGCTGGTTAGAATTAATAGAATAGATGTGACAATCCTTAAAAAAATAAATATAAAAAACAAGGCTGCAGAAGACTTGATTTTAGGATAAAGTTGACTTTTCTGCAGACTGAATACTTTCAGTGTGAGGAATGAACGTCAGCTGCCGCCTCCCGCTGGGCGGCTCGGACTCACATGATCGCACGGCCTCACCCGACACGCCGCGGCGCGCCGGAGCAGACTGACGGAAAAAACAAGTGTGGCGTACATAACCTGAGGTCTAATGTTGTTGTTA